GGGTAACCTCAATATAGTTCGCGATTACCAAGACCACCTGTCCCCAAAAGGACATAAAGTAGCCACTGTGCATTCGCCGCCAATGGAAATAAAATCAGACTGGCTTTCGGAAATATGATTTTCTGTCAGGTCGGATATATGCGTACCTTTCCCTAAACGCTAGTCTCTATTTTTGACCACTGTTCGGGTCAAGGTGTTTATTCCCACCATGTCGGGTTTTAAGCATTGTGGAGACTGCCTTTGGTTGGAGGAATGTCCCATCGCCTACTTCCTCCAAGTAGTCACACAAGGGGCCGCCAGCTATTCACCGCTTTAAGCGTTGCGCACTTATTGGTACAGCATCGAGACGCTGTAACAGCTGACGCACCTTGGCAGTCAGCGATCTACTCAAACCATTCAATATAGGTTCGTTACCGATGATCTGTTTCGGTGTTTAACAATAATATAAAGAGATGAAGGTCCATGGTTGCACGCTCGGAGACGGCATTTTTGTAGCTCAGATTTCATCACAAAGCTGCGCGGAAGATTTGATCAAAAATAAATGATTATACCTCCAAACTGAGTTTTACGTGACTATTCCCCGTTTTCAAGGGAATTTTTGAGGCAAAGGCAATCCAAATCGCCGTTTATTCGCACATCTGCTGTAGCAAAAAGGCTACTAATAGAGAGAGAAGTTTGCTTCATTTTGAAGATACTATCCAATAATTTTAGCAAAAAATGACTCCATTCACGGAGAGCAAGGGATAAGGTAAGGTAAAGACTCATCGAATACTCAAAGTTAAAGGTTTACACAATATCCACGTTTGTTATGGACACAGGTCGGCTTTCAACTTCTCAATTTCCGTTTCTTCACATGTGAGTTAGCACGCTAGGAATGGGAGTATAAAGTGCTGATATGCCGATGTAGGGCAAGATATATGACGGAAGCTTTGGCGCATAGTACGGGAAGATTTCCTAACCATTAGTTCAGAATGGGGAGGGTGAGCGACCTCACTAAGGATGCCATCAGCAAATTCTTTGACCGCTTCAAAGTGTCGTTGTATTATAATGTCGGCTAAAAAGTATAGGAAACACCGGCAGCTGAAGAGAGCATTCGGAGGATACGTTTAAAAATGACCAGGTCTTTTTTTTCATTTAAGCTGGAAAAATATTTGGAGAGCAGTAAAGAATGTGGGGGAGAATGCAGACATCTATAAATCGCCAGATTAGAGCTTGCGGTGTGCGCTATGAATGCAAACGGTGGATATAATATAAAAGCTTGTGGATTTTAATAAAAAAGCCCCCAATATGAAGAGTAAATGAAAGTTTAGATGCCAGAGTAACACGAAGGTACGGAAAGAGGATATCTCATTGGGCAGAATGTATATGGACTCAGGACTAGGAGAAGGTCGCAATCGATAAACACACTGGACTGACTTCTGGTCGCGCATGCACTTAAGTAACCATTGGCCGTGCTTACTGGAAGTTCGTCTGTGCGCACTAGACCGACTTCCTCAACCCAATGGCAGTTTCTTTTTTGTTGCTGGCAGACACTGAGCCAGGGACTTGAGGCAGTTTGGTGGGACCTGGAGGGCTTCTATGCCCGAAATCAACACTGTGTGAGAGAGAGAATAGCACCTTTTATGCTCTTAGCTTCACATTTTCTCAGACATGACGGGAGGTGTTCCCTTATTCTTTTGGATAGGCGTCGGCTTATGCGACCAAAATAGTACCTTCCGCGGCAGCAAGTAAATGAGAATTTATTGAAAGCACACGTATGCTCGCTGACTCATCTTCTGGATCTTTTGATAACAATTTTTTTGCAAATGTGAATTACTTAACATTAGTGTCGGCAATCAGTGCTAGGTTAAGATTTATCGAACTACTAGACAGACACGCCTAGGAACACCTGGATGGTGGCGGTCGCACAGGTAACATAGTTTTTCGCGTGAAGGATCTGGTAAAGAAAAACCGGCTTCGTGCGTTGACTTTGAGCACACTTCTAGCTGGATGCTCTGCTCGGCTGGCGTGCCTAATAGACCAGCTTCGCTCGACTGTCCACCGACGACAATACAATGATATTACACGCGGTGGGGCGACCGGATCAATCTGGAGAGAAATACCTTCACAAGTACCGGTGCGAAAACTGGGGCGCAGTCACTCTTATGTCTTTCAGCTGCAGGGGACGCAAAACAGTGTCCCATCGCATTGTTTGAGAAGTTTTTTTGCCATCGTTCTCAGACGCTTCCATTGAGTGCGTATTGCAGGAGGCGCTATCAATTGAATTCGTGTTCTTTACTGGCCACGGCTATGTTAACCTAATGTCTTTACTTATTTCGACGATTCCATGTGCTCTGAAATGGGTGTATTGCAGGAGGTTCATTAAGTTAAGTCCTAGCAACCGCGATCTTCATGCTCGGTCCGTTAGGAGAAGAGAAGTCATGGGAAGCCAGAGTGGTAGGAACAGTCTTTCCGGTACATAATAAATGGGAGAACAGGCATTAGGAAAGTGACTATCAGACGACAGCACAACCGCAAGCCAGCGGACGGCGTCTGAAATGATGTCTGTTCGGTAGTCGTCACA